ATTACTAATGGTACATCACCCAGCAAAAGCTATCTAGGAGTATTATAATACACAGTCTTGATCCTCATTTGTCTTTATTCAATTCAAATGAATTACAAACGTGGTCATCGCACGAAAAGGGTTGCGTGGATACGGTTTCGATTACTGATAAACGCTGGGCACAGGTGTTAATTAAAATTTACCGTTTTAGTTGGCCTGATAAGCACCTGTTTTCCGCTTTCATCTTCACACAGAGAATACATGCGTGCTCAAAAGAGACCTAAATTCATTTTCATTTTGTGCGATTTTTCTCTTTTAGGGAGTTGGAAAGTAATTCTGTGTGTGCACACATACGCACCTACACACATGCTCTAAGACTTCGCTGCTGTTGCTATGACTACATTCTTTCTGCGGTAAATGTGTTGTCTGACACTGTAAAGTCAAAGAGAATACTCATGTTTTCATATCTACTCCTGTCTCTTTTCTTTGTCTCTCACATACTTGCTCCTCTCAAGGTTGTGGGTAATTTTGGTTACGGCTCTGTGTGACCTTGAGACTCTTAAAGAGCGCCCTACAATACCGATCTGTATGTGTGTGTTTGTTGTGAACAGTCTCTACACATAACTAGTATGCTTTGAATATCTTGATGAATTGGGAATATATTCATGAATATATTAATTTAACCATTTTGGATACCTTGGTGGATAGAAATGCTTATAGTACTATAGTAAGTAATGCTTAAATGCTTATAGTAAGTATGTTATTCACATACTTTATTATGCACAGCTATTACAAATTTTTTGTTTTGTAGTCTTATACTTGATGTTCTTTTTATTTAATTATTTTGCTAAATACATTTAATATGGGGAAGACAATTAACTTGGCTTTGAAATATAAATTTAAATTAAGTGTGTGTACATATTTACATATGCTGATGTATATTAAAATATGTTGTTAATAATAATTAAAACACTTTTTTACAACAATTATTTAATTAATTTCATTAAATTGAATGTAAATAGATTATTATATTAATAATAGGAAACATTTGAGTTTTTTTTTTGCATCTTATTTTTTCTGTAGAATGAGTTTTTGCGAACAGTAATTGGCAGACTCCCTGCAGTACCATCTCGGACCCCCTGTTGTAAACGCTTGCTTTAGCAATAATTTTTAACTTTGAAGTCTTTAGTGCTCATGCTGATATAGGCTATGAAAGCAGTTTTCTTAAAATATACAGTCTTCATTCATCAGTTCATTGTCTGGCGTATTGTGTTTTGCTGTGATACTTGACTTAACGTATTATACACACGGAGATGCAATCAGGCTTCATTGTTGTATATGATTGTTTACTTCCTGTTATTACAAGGAAAATATTGTATCATGGAAGTACAAAGACACTTTTTCTTTTTTCTTTATGTAAGAAAAAAAGTTACCAATATTTTCATGATATTGCAGCATATTCAGGCATTCTGGGAAGTTGCCCCACCCTGCTGTGATTGAGGGCACTACTGCATGTGTAATGCACCTTGACCTAATTAGTTATTTACAGTTTCACGCATAACTGGACTCCGTATGTTCAAATTTGTCCTTAATAAACATAAATGTCTTTTTTAGTACCATATCAAGACTAAAAAGTGCACTACTTCATGTTCATGAAACAGCTTTTGCATACCACATCTTATTAATTAACTTGTAAATTTATATTGTTTGTTTACAGAGGCATAGGTCAATCGAAATCAAGCACCTGAGCCCGAGCATAGGACATATGGGCAGTTTGTAGCCCTTAAAATAGGTCACATTAAAATATGTATCTCTGCCTATATTTTCAGCTGTAACCAGCAAAAAAACCTGTGCTGTTTTAAACCAGACATGCACGTCCATTCTGGACTGTCCAAACACAACCCACACCTTCTTCCTTCTCTATGGACCCGAGACCCAGATGCCATAAAAGCACGGTTGGCTAATTAAACAGCCAAATATGCTCATCCATTATCAACATACCTTAGGGGTTTACCGTGACAAACTGTACATATGTCTAAGAGTGAGTGATAGTGGGGGTTGGGCATACCTCATGGGTTTTTAGGGCAGCCTTGGGGACTCCCTTGGGAAGAAAAGGCCCACATGGCAGTTCGAGAGGGATGCTTGTATGAGGGAACGTGTGTGCGGTTATTTTGTTCTGTTGCCAACACAGCAGAAATCAGCTGTGCAAGCAACTAGCAAAACTACAGTATTAAAATCTCTCATTTACTCACACTTATTTCCTTGGAACACAAAGAAAGATGTTTTGAAAAATGTGTAAAAGTCAGAGGTGTCTAATATTGTTTTGGAGTGGACCCCATTTACTTTCATTGCTTGGACAAAAACTGGTCTTCAAATGGCATTTTTTATTCATTTATTTATTTATTTTTGTGTCATTTTAAGCAGGGTTTTCCAAACTGGGGTTTGTAAGCGATTGGTTTGTGAGTGGATGAAACGTAAAAAAAAAAAAAAAAAATGAAACGTTTAAAAAAATAATAATAATTCACTAAACCGATGGAGTGTTTTGTTTACCTGTGTATGATGAGACTATTAACCATTGACATGGAAAAAATATGAAAATATATGTGATTATTATTATTATTATTATTATTGTCATAGTTCTTATATTTTAAGTATTTTACATCAAATGAGTTACAAATGGGACTAACAAAAAAGTATGAATCGCTCCTTTGAGCATTAGATAGATTAGTTAAAAAGAAAGATAGATAGAAAAAAGAAAGATTGTGTAGAAAGAAAGAAAGAAGGATTAGTTAGAAAAAAATTACTTGGACGGAAAGATAGGTTAGAAAGAAAGAAAGATTAGATAGAAAGAAAGAAAGATCAGTTAGAAAGAAAGAAAGATTAGTTAGAAAGAAAGAAAGATCCGTTAGAAAGAAAGAAAGACCAATTAGAAAGAAAGAAAGATTTCTTTAGTTAAAAATTAGTTAGCTAGAAAGAAAGATGGATTCGTTAGAAAGAAAGTAAGATTAGTTAGAAAGACAGATCAATTAGAGAGAAAGAAAGATTCATTAGAAAGATTAGTTAGAAAAAAGAAAGAAAGATTAGTTAAAATAAAAAAAAAAGATTAGTCGAAGGAAAGAAAGTTAGGTGATGGTAGTGGTAATCCAAATGTAAAAATGAGCATATACCATTAATGTAAATAGATAGATATTCAATATAAATAGATAGATATCCAATATTGTCCAATGACCAATATGCTGCATATAATGCATCTCTAAAAGGGCATGCTATTAATATAAATCAGAAATGTATGATGATGTGAGTTGAGAGGATTCACATTGTTTATGCTAATATCTGAATAAATTGAATATGCTGATTATGTACATTCATTTCTCCTGAGACCACAAGGCCTGCAGTTGTGTGTGTGTGTGTGTCTGAGACATGCTTTCTGCTCCAGTGAACAGACAGTCACTCTGACTGATTCAACAAGGGTTGGCTGAGCTTGTTGCATTTAAACATCTCTAAAAGTCCCTTATGAACCTTAAAGCAATGCTCCTCTGATAATATGACTGAGAAGGCAAATAACACAACGACAGCACATTTGAAGGTCTAAATACATACCAAAAACATTCTTCTGTCATTATGATCCCACATTGTTGCAGCCATTCTAGACGATATATGGCATTGTTAGCGCTGGAGTCACGGTGGCTGGTTAGATGGCTGTGCGTGTGTGTGTTTGTGTGCATGTCTCTATATGGCAGACTGCAGCTCATCAGAAATTGAAGAAAAAAAGACTCCCTACATCATTTCACCCGATTTCTCCTCAGTTTCTCTTGCTAGGTCTCTGCCTGATAGATGTGAGTCATTGGTAATGAGCTGGCATTCTGTCATTCCCTTACTTTCCACCCAAACAGCCCCAGTCTCTCTAAAGCTCTGGGGTGTAGAAGACTTCAAGCAGCTAGTAGCGGCAGCTCTTTCCATTAGCATTCTCTTCCTGATGCTGTATTTTTCCTTTATAGCGTTCTTCCTAAAATCATGCTTAACTCTTCTGTTTTATTCAGGTTCTTTATGATGAATGAAATAGTCTTTGAAAGTCATGCCTTTAAGCGGTGGCTGGTCAAGGTTGTCTGGATCTAATGTATTAAATGAAAGAGCGGAACATGGTGTGTTATACTAGCACTCTGTCCATCAATAGTTCAGCTTTGTCATTGAATAAATTACATTTCCTTCCAGGAGGTAGTATCTCCTCAGAAAATTTGATGAGAAAAAGCACAAAAATAAAACAATGCCAATATTACGAAATATGACGTTAATAAACCCCAATTCGTGCTTTTTTTTGACAGTGTAAGTAATGTTTTTTTTAATGTATTATTTAACCTTGACAACATGTCAGTACACCACTGCATGTCACTGTTTAAAATATATGAAAAATACAAAACAATTTTTCTTAACATTATTTCACAATATTACTGGTTTTACTGAATTTTTGATTAGCATTAGACTTTCAAAAACATTAAAAAGTAGCCTATATGTCACCGACTGAAGATTGGAATATGGTTTACTTTGCTGAAGCTATTTTTACCTAACTATATCAGCATATATTCCAGACAGAGCCTTGTCTGCTTGTTGTTTGTGAAGTTCTGTTAGATGTGAAGATGCACACGCTTCATTATTTACTATTACGCTGTTTCATTCCTGCAGAACCTGATGACTTGCTCCTGGTTTTCCTTAGACCTGTTGGCCTAGTTTTGAATGCTGTGTGAATAAATGTCTAATTTAAGAGCCTGTCATATAAGGATAGTGTTTCCATGCTTTTTTTGGACGAATTGCTAAATTAATTTTATAGACTGCTCATGACAAACATTTTATTTGCATGTTAAATATGTTATTTAGACATGTTAAACTTCTCAAATTTTGTAATGCCACTGGATCTGCAAGGATCTGGATCTTAACCTACGTAAAAAGTTCAGGATGATGCAACATATCTTTAGATGAAGGGTTTTGTCTTAATGAATGTTGAAAAGAAGGAAACATGTGGCAACTTACTGAACAAATCCAGGTTTTAATTCATTTAAGAGTGACACATGACACCAAAGACAAGGGAAAATAACCAATAAACATATTCAATATAAAACAGATTGTCTGAAACTAAAGAATAAATCAGAACCAGCAATAATCAACCATTAATAAGTTACACACATTACATAGCACACACAATCATGTCTGTTTTGAAATTGTTTGCTTCACAGACATCATTTAATGGGCTGTACAAAACTGATTATGCACAACGTCCAGAGACTTAAGTAACAAAAAGGAAGATTGTGGAGTTTCACCACTTCAAACATATAACACATAAGAGTGCTACTAAACCGGACAACAGTAACAAATTCATATCAAGATGATGGTTTGTATGTTGACTGACTCATAAACTTTAGCCAAGAAAAAGCCATTTGTTATGCTACAGTGAGAAAACTTGCCCTTATTTTTCCTTTGTCACCACCCGCTTTCTCTCTCTCTCAACTTCTCTTGGGTGGTTTTTCCGACATGTAGTCCAGCTTATCTGACTTGTCTGTTCCTAAGCAACGGCGATCGGTATGTAGCATGAAGTGATGCAGGTCACTGTTTGACTCCTAAAGTTCCTTTCAGATGAGAATCATATATTAATGTAGTTCTGAGGTGCAGTTAAGGCAAGACCATTTTTTATGTACAGTATTTTCAATCATACTTTAGATAGAGACTGAGTTTTCACAACATTTTGGGTTGACATTAATTAAAATGAGTCATTTAAGTCATTTAAAAACGTATTTTTTGAGACAAAATTTCTGCTTAATGACCTATTAGACTCGCGAAACAAAATGTGACGTGTAATTTAGATGCAATATTTAGATTTTCAAGAGATCACAAAATGTTTCAGGCAATAATAACTAGACAAACTGCCAAGAAAATCAGCTAAGTTCAATGAATGAGGAAAACTAAGTCATCAAACATACACAACCGTTCACAAGTTTGGGTTCTGTAAAATTTGGGTCTCTTGTTATGGTCACCAAGGTTGCGTTTATTTGATCAAAAATATTATTACAATTAAAAATCAAATCTTTAGTGTCTCATGATCCTAATGTGCTGATTTGATGCTTTAGAAACATTTATTGTTATTATCAATGCTGAAACTATGATATGGGTTTCCAGGATTCTTTTATGATTATAAAATTCAAAGAAACAGCATTTATTTGAAATGTAAATATACTGTCTTAACTGTAATTTTTGATCAATTGAATGCATCCTTGGTGAATAAAAATATTGATTTATTTAAAAAAACAACTCTTAAGGTTATTTCACACTGATGCTGACAGTCGGGTTCTGTCGGCATTGGTCTGAACGTGTTTAATGTTTGTTTGGTTTTGGAATGTCTGAGAAGTGACATACTTGGCTTTACTGACCCCACATTTTTAAACGGTAGTCTATGTTATTCCCTTAAACCGTTTATTTGATCATTTTACATTTGATGAACTACTACTGATTCTGAGGTTAAATTTTTCGTAATGCTGTCTTGTCTGACTTATCAGTTCATTACTATTTGGCCATTTATAAGCCCCAAAGTGAGGATTTAGTTGTTTTACGATTAAGCATTACACAACCAGGGGTTGTGGGATTTAAGTCAGAGATTACCAGAATGAGGTTACAAAATGAAAGGAGAGTCCTCTGTGACAGTGATCCAACGGAATACATCAGAATCACTGAAATTACAATGCAATCTACTGCCCAACCCAGAGAATAACCAGTAGCTTCACCTCATAACTCTTTATAGGCCTATTATTGAGAATTAGGTGTTGGGGCAATTTTAGGATTACTTAAGAAGAAAAGTTAACTGGCGCGTTCAAATTGTCTTCTTGTTATGCAACATTTGATGAGTTTTCATGGACAGCAAAGTCCCTTAGTAATCCCCCATGACCCTCCCAGTCCATCTCTAAAATTATTTCAGCGAAAGATTTTGTTTTCAAGAAAAGAATGCCTGAAACATCTGGAAGGGATCTTTGTGGAAATAACTCCTGCTCTATACATAGAAATGGCCTGGGCAATGCTTGGTTTCTCCTCATTGACTGAGATTTATTATGACCCATTCTATAGGGGCAGAAATCAATCAGATGGACCACATTAGGGATGAGAGAGAGTGAAAGAGTGTGTCAGCATTTCCAATACATCTGGATTGTACAAATGTGATTGGATGCTTCAACTAGCAGATTTATAACGCTGTCCGCCTTATTCAGGGGGACATAAAATCTTGTTTGGCTCCTCCCACGTTTGCGTGACTTCAATCAGGATAGCGTGATATTTTGATTCTATCAGTGCCAGAGACTTCAGCAAGTACAAGCAATGCATAATTCTGTTTTGAAACAGCAACTAATGCCAACCTGTTTTAAATCATCCTCTCACTTTCCAATCAACAATCACATCCATATTCACTAAAGTGCGTACTGTGGAACAGAAACTCATCCTCTTCCCTCTAAATATGAAATCGGTCACAGCTCAATCCGCATTCTATACATGTAAGCAGATATGACTGCCCGCAAAAATATTCAACAGTGTGCAAAATATTCTGCTTTTCCTTCTTCGTCTGATTGATTGATCGTTAATACAAAATGCAGTTCATGTAAAGGGAAATCAATCGATACTTTAGCATTAGGATGTGTAACAGGCAAAAACCTTGAACAATGGCAGCAGCTCTTTGTCGTAAGGAGGAGTGTGTTTGCAGGTGGGGTGTCAGAATGGAAGAAGAGCAACGTAAGTGTAGAGAGAGGGAGGGGTCATGAAAGGTCATGACCTCCCCTTCTCTCAAACCCCTCCACCCAACCCTCACGAAGAGCAAAAATGCGTTTGTTTTTCTGGAGCTGGGGCGGTGCGTGTGGGGCTCACATGATGGAACAGCTCTTGGTTCTCTCCTTGCTGAAGGAGGAGGTCAGGAGCTCTGCCTTGCTGGGCAGGTGAAGGAGGCGTTTGGAGAGCCGGCGGGTGGGACTTTGCTTTATGGGGGGCTGCGGTTTGTTGAGGCACGTGAGCGCCGCTGAGCGGAACACGCTGTGGATGCTCTTCTCTGATGTGAACGCAGAGCACTCCAGGTACGCCTCCGCTCCTACCTGTTTCGCCAACAGGGTGCCCTACATACAGACAGAATGCAGTCAGAGATAGAAAGAGCGAGAGAGACGAGGAGTTTAGTTTACACAGGGAGCGTTCAATTGACTGACCTGCTCATGGGAGATGGGTGTCAGTCTCTGATTGGACAGCTCCATCAGTGTGCAAACATCTGTTCGCAGGTCTGTCTTGCAGCCGACTAGGATTATTCGAGTACTGGGGCAGAAATCCATGATTTCGGCTTTCCACTGCAGGGAGAGAACTGTTAATATACTTCAAAATCATATTCTTAATGTGTATTTTTTTTATTATTTTTTTGAAAGCAACACTATGTACGAAGTAGTTCTCTTGTAGTAGTTGGCAAAAATGTTTGTCATTTTTTTGTGTGAACTATCACTTTAAGTAGTGTTTTGATAGATTCAATCTAAAATAAGTGCATCTTGTTTTTCGGATTTTCTTCACCACTTAAAAAGGTGAAAAAAATCTGCCACAAAATGCACACATTTTCTGAAAGGTCTTAATATTTTATGCAATGTTTATTCTTAAGGGGATAGTTCACCCCAAAAAAAAAAAAACCCCGTAAGACATCTTCGGAACACAAATTAAGATATGATCACAAATTTTATTAAATCTGAGAGCTGGATCACTCCTCCATACTAGTCCAATGGCTTCTTAAGGGATTGAAACTTGCCGGCCTCAAAGTTATTAAAGACATTGTTAAAATAGTCCAAGTGACTACAGTGGCTCAATCTTAACTTTATCAAGCAACGAGAATACTTTTTGTGCGGAAAAACAAACAAAAATAACTATTTTATTTCAACTATTCACTTCCGTCTCTTTGGGCCTCTAGTCAGTTAACGAAGTGTGATAGCGTAGAGCTACGTCACACGTAGGCTCACTATTGGCCGACGCTGGTCGACGCTTGTGACGCTGTGTTTTTTTGCGCACAAAAAGTGTTCTCGTCGTTTGATAAACGTAAGATTAAACCACTGAAGTCACTTGGACTATTTTAACGATGTCTTTAATAACTTTGAGGCCAGCAAGTTTCAATCCCTCAAGAAGCCTATGGACTAGTATGCAGGAGTGATTCAACTCTCAGATTTCATCAAAAATATCTTAATTTGTGTTCTGAAGATGAACAAAGGTCTTACGGGGATGGAACAACATGAGGGTGAGTAAATACTGACAGAATTTTCATTTTTGGGTGAACTAACCCTTTAAATTAAATAATCTTATTTTAACTGTTAAAAAAAGTAACAAAACAGAATATTTTAAATTTAAGAAGTCATAAAATGTACTTCACCTTTTTCAGAGAGCTTTCGACGGTGTCAGGGCGACTTATATCGAAGCAGAGCAGAACCGCATCTGCATCACTGTAGCAGAGAGGCCTGACATTATCATAATATGGTGAACCTGCAGGAGCAACCACACAACAAACAAACTTAGCATAAATAACATTATACTGGTGAGAAAGAAACAGATGTGACTAAATATGGAAGCTCAAATGTTATGGAGGGGATCTGACGGTCATAGTAATGTAAATAGCAATCAAATGGGAGGTCTTGTAATAGGTGTGTGTGGGCGAATCTCGGAGATTCCTTTATATTGACAGAATGAGTTGCCGAGGAGGTCTTGTCCCCCACACACAGCAAACCTCATCTCATTTCGTAGTAACTACGGCAACGGAATTGAAGGATGCACACAAAAACGCTGCCACACTATAGCTCTATTTGATAGCAAATAAAGCGAGTCCATTAAAGACACATTTCAGCCAATATTTATGTATTTGTGCTTTTTAGAGAATGGACTCTCAGCTCAGATGCTGGGTGTTGTGTTAGCCTCTCTGGGTCACGTACTACTGCTGTATTATGTAGACAGTGACTCAGCCTACTAGGTTTAGACAGTATAAGGTTTACCAGTAGAAAGATACGAGAGATATGACTAGACAAAGCAATGAATCTACATGCAATCCTGATATCACAATCTATGCACTCAACTAGACTATACAGCTCTCAGTCTCAACAGTAAGGTCGTTGTAGCGAATTAATTCCAGTAAATTCCAGTTTAATTCCTGCTTTAAATGTCACCATGGTCAAATGAATTAGTTTGCAAACAGAGATGAGGTTTGTTTCAACTGAAATATCAGTAAAAATAGGTTGACAATCATAAACCATGTAGTTACCATGTACCATCTTTTTCCAGTAAAAGACTATTGATGAATTAATTATATTATTAATTGATGATATTTATTTATTTAAAATCAAGTATTATACATTTCTGTAAAGAAAAGTTGTTTAATGAAAATTGTTTAATTTACAGTCGTCATTGTAAATAATATATTATGCTTTTAATTTTAATTAAATGAATTAAATATATTTAATTAATTTTTTTTAAATATCTTATTTGTTTATAACATATATAACATGTTTATATTTGTTTATTTTATGACTATCACTATGAATTGTTATATTATAGTTTAATTGATGAATTAATTATATTATTAATTGATGATATTTAATTATTTAAAATCAAGTATTACACATTTCTGTAAAGAAAAGTTGTTTAATGAAAATTGTTTCATTTACAGTCGTCATTGTAAATAATATATTATGCTTTTAATTTTAATTAAATGAATTAAATATATTTAATTAATTTTTTTTAAATATCTTATTTGTTTATAACATATATAACATGTTTATATTTGTTTATTTTACGACTATCACTATGAATTGTTATATTATAGTTATTATACTTTGAAATAGCTGATTAACATGTCACATTGGTTTTAAATATATATATATATATTTTTTTGTAAAAAAAAACCTGAAATATATAAATATATTTTATTCTGACAAAAATATACAGTTTATTTGGGTTGCAGATCTTCTCTATGAGGGGTCATGGACCTATTCAGACATAAACCTAAATGGTAGGACATCTTCCTGTATCCGTTCTAGGAGGCAATTGCTCTTTACAGCTGACTGTTTGATAAACAAATTAAAACACTGTATATTCCTCTTGAATCAAATTTCCAATGATAAGAGCTAGAGAAGTGGCCCACACCAGACCAGAGAGCAGCCTCTCATGCCCGTCACCTCTTTGATCTGGAGAGTGTGTGAAGAGATGCCTGAAGCAGCGAGAGCCAGACGAGCAAATTCAATTAAAGCTTCTGTAATTAGTCATGATTAGAGTGTGTTTGTGCATGTATGCTGATGAGTGTTTGCGTGTGGGTGCACAAGCATCTAGCGCTCTGCCAATGTTCCTCCTGTGCGTCGCCACCTAACGAGGCTGTGCACAATTAACAAAGCCTAACTGCCGTAATGAGGGAATAGATGGGGGCTGTTTGATTGTCTTCTCAAGCTCTGATCTTACATGCAAGATTCTGAGTCAGTTCTTGTACATGATAAAATGTATGTTCCTCCACAGTTACTCTTTTCTCTTCTGATCTGGATTTAGTGTCTGGGGTTACACTAAAAAATGGCTTTTTGATTTTACTAAAAACAAATTAAGGCAAGTGGATACACTAAATTAATTCATCTTCATAAGGCAAAACATAACTAAACATTAAATACTCACACAGGTATTTCCCTTCACTCAAAAACACATAAAATAACACTTAATTTCAACATTTACTTTCCTGATCCAACCATATGCCAAAGCATGCTGGGAACTAAAAAGCCTCTGTCTATTTTCAGTTAATGCAACAAAAATCATTCATGTAATCCCAACAAAAAGTCAAATTATAAATATATAATATATTTAAGTAGATTGACCACAATGAAATTAAGTAACAGCAACTGTGTTACTTAAGCTCATTTTAATGAAGTAATTTGAGCAAGCAGCAAAAAAAAAAAAAAGTAAAAAATATAGTTTAGTTTGTATAGTTATAGTTTGTTTGACAGTTTTTCCAGTATTGTTTCACTGTTCCAGGTCAATATGACAGGGAAATTCCATCTAAATGTTTTTAACATTCCATAATAAGATGAAATGTATAGCAGGAAATACCTTGAGACAGGAAGTCCTCCTTGCCTTGCACAACCACGTTTCTCTCTTAAATGATTACTAGTAGTATTAATGACAACAACAATTATAAATAGATATACTGTATAATTATATAAATAAATATATATTTATATAAATAGATGTTTATTATCAAAGTACCACTACTACTATTAAACTATTATTTACATTTTAATAATTAAATTTTAAAAAGCAACATTTAAACAATAATTATTATTTAGTTTTTTTTTTTTATTATTAGTGAACAAATGAAAAAATTCATACCAATTTTGAAACAAAAGCTGAAATGTTCTATTTTGCTTAGAAAATGTCCCAGTTGCAAAAAAGGTGGAAAGAAAACTTGCCTCGTCTTGGAAAGTTGTCTCACATTGCAAGCTTTGTATAGCAAACAACAAAATTAGGGGAACAAAAAAACTAATAATCTCCCTAAGCAGGCACCTATTATAGAAAAGCAATATCCCATCCACTCATCCTAAAAGTAGGCACTCAGTCAAGCAGTCAGGCATGACAATTAACAGATCCAGATCCATCAGGCACCACTGACTGATACGTCACACAACATGACCCTAAAAAACTCCGCTTTTCACTTGACAGCATGGGATTTAGAAATATTAAACCTATACACTTGCAAAGATTAATCCCAGTTAAATATCAGTTATAAAATAAGGACATTTGGGAAGGGCATGACACATCCATCCAAAACAATATCCAGTGATACTAGAGCAGATAGTAGAGTAGAAAGATAATGATACTGTATATGAAGGAATATAAAGGAACTTTAAAGCCAGATAGTCGGTTGGGTACATAATTGGTATGATAACAGTAATATTAATTTTGAGGGAAAAAACCTAAATCCTATTTAAAGATATAGGTCACACTAGTACCCCGCCAAAAAATCACTAATTCACGCCCATGTTGTTTTGGACCCCATTGACTTTCATTGTTTCAACTGTTTTTGTTTATAGGTTCTTCAGAATATCTTTTTTTTCATCTGAAGAAATAAAGTCATACAGGTTTGAAACCATATGACGGTGAATAAATGATGACAGTTTTCTTTTTGAGGGGAACTATCTCTTTAAGAGATGTCACTTAAAGCTCTGTGAATGCAAACATAGACTAAATAAATTAGACTATCAAGAGCATTCCATGTCTTTTACTAGATAAGAGCTATAGCTATCAGTCACTGAACCACAGTTTCTACTACCAGCCTAATCTTAAACAGATACAAACACACAGACTAAACATTTCCTGACCAAATATCTTGATACAATATATTGAATCACAGACACTGAAACAGGAGCTGATCTCTGTAATACTCTAAAAAGCCACCTATACATAGTTCCCACAGGCAAAAAAATTGTCACGTGACCTCCCCGGAGACGCCATCTTTGAGGGCAAAACCGCTGTGTTTACCATAGGCGTTTACAACGTTTTATCAGAGAATGTCGTTTTACAAACAAATATTTATGTCTGTTTATATTGTTATGCAAATCATGAAAAGACAAAGTGTAATAGATTATAAAGAGACTATTAAAACAAGACATAGAGAGGTACAATGCGAAAATTTCATTCATAAATGGTGTGTTATCCTTATGCAACAAAAGAAGCACTGAGCACCGATTATGCAACTTTGCCTCAGATACAGTATTTTCATGTGTACAATTATTGGTATTGGTGAGGAGTTTTTACACATGTGAGCAATTCCAAGCCTGGAAATCACTGGAGTGTACGATCAGATTGACGTGGGGTTGGTTTGGTGACGTTTGCTCAAGTGCAATCAATAAGAAAAGTAACTTAAGTCATCATAGCAAAGTAGCATGATGCTAATCTGTCTATTAAAAAGCCATAGCCTGCACAACTAATTCCTATGTTCCCCAGTCACCGGTGATTTCTGTAATATGCATGTACTTGCGGGCGTCATGGTTCGGTGCATGAATATTAAAATAAATAACTCGCGTGCAATTTAATTAATGTAATAAATGAGGAACTACATTATACGCGGGATCTTTAGGGACATAATCTGAGATTGCAATGCTGGAATGTGAGATCAAACAGTGGAAACAATGTTGTTTTGTATGTTTTTAATACCTCGTCATTTTGTTCATACAGGACATTATTCAAACTGCAACGTGTTAACTTATATTTATTTACACTCGCAATAAAACACAACATTGTGCTTTTGTCAAACAAATTCTTGCGTGTTTTGAGTGAGTTTCTTTCCTGTTTATGCTCGCCAGCCATAATCTCCGTCGTTGTTCGGACAAAAGCTTAGTCTTCTCACATCCATATGGAGTCTAATGACGGGTATAGTGTAAAATCCCGATTTAACTGAACCTCCGGCACGATTTTATCATCCATTGACTCAGCAGGAGATGACCATTTTCACTTTATAGCACGAAACTCATTTCACTTCGTTCAACTCGTATTGCTTCTTCTTATGTTTTGCCCTAAGCAATGGCGCCGGGTCGGCAAATGCCCGTATGTTGTGACGTCATGTGGGAACTATGTATACGTCATCAAAAAGGCTTTGTGCGTCACAGTGAGACATTCCAAAACATGACAAAACCCTGTGTAGTTCTATACACAGTCCTGGTTATTTTAATAACCAAACAGAGATCTTGTCTGATCCAGAGGCAGACAGAAGGTGAGGACTGGTCTCAGGTGTTGCAGATGCCAGATCCTCTCGCACACTTACTGCAGCTTCACATATGTCTGCTCGCATTCCCTGACTGACTCAGGGCTCAGGTGTTGATCGTGTGTCTTTCCTGTAACGTCTGACTGACCTACTAGCCCAAGAACAGTCAACAACAACAGCCGAGAATGCACACAAACAAGTGCATATGGATGATTTAGGGAAAGTCATTTTGTAAAGTGAAAGTTTGTTGTAATTACAGTGCACCCACATATATTATGTAAACACAAACTTTTATTTTGGATACGATTAATCGTTTGACTGCCCTAGTTGTAATGCTATCCAACAAAACATAATAAAATCAAATCTATTCTAAATCTACTTTAAAATATAAACAAGCATTTTCTCTAACTGAAAGTCATTAACAAGATAAAGAAGTTAATAATGCAAGATATGATGCCTTGAATTAAAATATCACTTAAGAAAACAAGTTCAATTCATAGTCAATCAGGGACCTGAGTTACACTTTTCCATTTCACAGTGAAGCGGTTAATGATTGTTTTATTCATTTTAATCTTATTCAGACAGTTTATGTAAATGGGGTCCAAACCAACACTGATTTTTTCCCCTTGTATTTCTTGTATCCATTTTTCAGAAAAAGCATCTCTTGTGTTCCACAGAAGGTTTGGAACGAGTAAATGATTACATAGTTTTCAATTTAGGGTCCATTTAATGATATCTCTCAAAAGTGCTGTCTCATGTGTAGAAGTGTATTAATTAGCTAAAATGATTGAGTGCAAATGTGTTCATCAGTTTCAATGCTCTGCACACCAGCATCACGTTTCTATAGTCGGTCTTCGTCTCTCACCTGACGTGTCCCATAAACTGAGCTCCACGCGCTGCTCCTCTAAATCCAGTCCAGCTGTGTAGTTCTCAAACACTGTTGGGACGTAAGTCTGTGTGGTTGGGAACGAAATAAAACGTTATATAATGACTTAATCATTTAAAGTTTGTATAAAAACAATTTGTTCATGTCGCATAAAACGCCATAGTATATATCCTAGATTATGGTTTGTTGCAAATTTGTTGATTTTTTTCCCCACCCAGCGTCAACACGTGCACAGCACACAACTCGCATGAGAAAGATACATAGAGTATCACCTTGATGAATGAACATCCAGGATGCGTAATATATTTCGCAGTATATTGTTGCATAATGCAATACGCAAGCATTTAAGTGCATTACTGTAGAAAATACATGAAGGAAGGAATACATGATAGTGAGTAAGACATACCTCAGGATAACAGTCTTTGGCCAAGACTTGCAACATTGCAGTTTTCCCGCACTGCACGTCTCCCACTAAAACCAGTTTACAACGCATTACCAAAGGCTGACTGATTCTTCTCTCCTTCATTGTAAATAAGACGGTCCTGTGCGCGATGGCTCTCTCGTATGACGGCCCTGGGCAGTTTGTTCAGACCGCATTGGGGTTTGGACTAAATCACCACTAAAGAGAGAAATACGGCACTGCGGCAATTTATACAGCTCTGTTATCCAATCAGCGACGCGCTCTCCTGCTCGCGCCCGAGTTCCACTGCCCCCGAAAGGCGCACACCCAGCTGGAGTCTGCACAGATAGTACTTCTAGCAACGGGAGGATAACACAATATGAAAGGGGAGGGTTTTTGGAAAGTTTACGGAGACGCGGTGAAAACGAAATAATAGACATGAGATGTAATAAAAATTTAGAAAATTTGTAAAATATCTCCAAAAGAGAGTGGTAAAATAGTCTCCACCGCTTTACGTGACAGCTACTTGCAGCATATGCCTACTATAGCTACTATAAATACAAAGTGCTCAAAAAATGCATGTAGCTCATTAATAATTATGTAATTTAGGCTTATAAAACCCAGTCAGCTGACGTTATATTATGAAAAATAACTTAAAATTTTCGGGAGCGTGAAGTCTTTTCAACACAAGCACATTTTGGGTTGGGGATTGGGTCAGTTGTAACTTGTTTACATTTTGTAGTAAATGCATTAACAAAAAAAATCTAAATCACAATTTTACGTCATAAAAAGACAAATTTAATAATTATTTATTTTATAAATAGGTTATTTATATATGTACATGTTCACAACTTTAACATCAAGGCGATGTTAAATAAAGATATTAAAAATAGCAGTCGCAGCAATAGAGTGACGAAGTGATGACGTCACTTTGTAGGACAACTCGGAAGTTAGCGGCGCATGGGTTTTCTCGATCGAAAAGTTATGCATTTTCCCCATAGACTTTTGGAAAATCGCAAAAAAAAAAAAAAAAAAGATCTTTGTTTAACAAAGAGTTGTGACCCTTACAGGTTTTGTCTATCAAGGTAATCTTTACAAGTTAATCCAATATTTATACATTTTGAAGCCTAAGATCTTTTTAAAAACACAAGCAGACATAATAAAGTTAAAAAAAACAACACAAGCAGGTCATAACTGTGTGTTCTATGTCATAGATCAAAACGTGAAAATATTTAGAGGCTTTGTTCACCACAGATCTTATTTTAGGCGATTTAGCAAAAACCCATTCAAAAATACCATAGACTTAGAGTGAGGGAACCAGTAGTGCTAAAATGCTAATTCACTTCCGCGTTTTGGCCTACAGAGTAAAGTCGTAACTTTGGCACTCTATTTTTCTCTTCTCCGCCATGTTTAAAGTTTATGGGGCCGCCCAACTCTGAAATCAGGTATCAAAATGATCTATCTCAGAGATTCTCAGTAGTAAATACGACTTGAGAGGGTGTTCATGTCCAATCTCCTACTAGGAAACTTGTATTTACGATAATTCCAATAGCACGTTAAGGCTGCAAAATTTACAGCTGTTTCGCAGAGAAAGATTAAAAAGTGAGTGACATCACTGTGGCTTGCTGATTGGATCAATATTACAACTGACCACACACTCCTTAGTGTGAACTGTGAAGGGCCCATATTAACCTCCTCCAACTCAATGATAGAAACAGGTGGATAAACGACCACACTTCTGTCAACTTTATTGACCCCGAGTTGTGTAAATGTCCGATAACCTCTGAGGCATTATTGACTGTGTGTTGAGTAATCATTTGAATCTTTCCTGGTATTTTCTCATTTGTTTGTTTGGCTCTGACAAATGAGAGCGTAATCGAACGATTTGCAACTCCGCTCACGCAATAAATCTATAAACTGATCGCATTGCCTGTGTTGTGGATGCGTCTGACTGTAATTAAAGCCTGCCCCCTGCACATAGATGCTAATTACATGATGCAAAGATTGTAACCCGCTATAATGCTATATTTGGTTCACGCAGGGCAGCGTTTCAGAGAATATGTTCAAACAGAATGTTCCATTTATTTTGATACCCTTTGTGCTAACGCCCCTAGGAGTGAATTGATTATGTAACTATCTGTGGCTCCTTTGTTAGCGAAACTCTCTCGCTCTCTTGGTCTGTCTCTGCTTATAGAACAAAATATATATTTTAGACTAACATACAAGGGTACAGACAGTCATAAAAGCTAATACAGGAAACGAACCTAGGCCTAGGGGAGTTATGTGTTGACATTGACCTTTTAGAAGTTGTATAGTCAGTGTTCTAGTTACACTTTATCTTCCCATCATGATTAAATGTGATTTCTGAATGTGTTCAGCACAGTATGGCAGCGTGTGTATGTTTACAGGAGAGTGTGGTGGCCTGGGCCAGACATAGACAGATGGTCTGGTCTTCCCCAAACTGAGGCAGGAAACACAGCAATGACATCTCAGCTGGGGAGAAGCATCGAGCATTTCCTGTAAGCTGGAGGAAAATGACTGTTATTACATAAGTCTCAAGTTCACAGACAAGTCTGTAAATAAGGTCATTAAAAGGCCATGGTCACTATTTCAAGTTCCGGTTGTTCATTTCATTTAATTGTCATTCTTCTCACGTAATGCCTACGTGTTTTTCTTTTTCTCTCTGTTTCTCTCCCCATCGCTTACTCTTTGGCAGTCAGGTTGAATTGTAATGTGTTGCATAATATTCCCAGGTCCTTGAACGTGGGCAAATTCTCTCGCCCTGGGAGAGGTACATTGTCACGGAAGAAAATGCTTTCATTTCATACTGAAAATTGTATTTCTATTGCTCACCGAACCACCAGGGCTATGAAGAAAAAAAAAATGGGAGAGGAGAGAACGTAGAGCAAGTTTTTTGACAAGTGTGTGATAAAAGAGTTTTGTACTTAGATTGATTATTGAAATTTTGTAGCAGCGTCCGTTTAGTAAAAGGATACTCATTTATAATGTAATATATGCAGTGGTGTCTGTGTTTTTGCTGCTGCATTCTGGTCAGAGGCCATGATATCATCATCACTTGCTTCACTGACCCACTGCACTGCTTCTGATTCACTGCATTTGGAGTACCGTGTAGGAGTAAAGTATACTCATACTACTGTATGTGTAGACATCTCTGAAAGAGCTGTGAAGGGACAAACAAGACACAAAACACATTTTTAATGTTGAATATTTCAAAAATAATTGTAATTATTAATATTGTCATAGTAAATTGACTTATAGAGATCTGTAATTATGCAATATTCTCAATCAATTATTAAATCCAAATGATTACTTTTACTCTTACAGTGGGGAAATGGTGATTTTGTAAGTTCGCTCGCCTGAGACCCGCATCTCTCTGTAGGCAAGGGCGTGGTGAGCTGGTACCTGCTTATGTCACGCAGTACCACAATATCCAATAGGAAAATTCAACTGCAGTAGCTACCGTTCAACCTGAAGAGGGCAACACTCAGACGTTTTTACACCATATATTGTAGAATTAAAACACTTTATACCCAAATGTCAAAAAATGTACCCGAATCAATCTTACAGATCATTTACTAAAAAAAGTTTCAGTTTCAGGGTTTAGTTACGCTTTTAGGTTTCTTGACTTTCGCTTTGCAGTTTCAGCTCCCTCCACAGATTTTCTATACGATTAAGGTCTGGATACTGGCTAGGTCACCCAAAGATCTTAATGTGCTTCTTCTTGAGCCACTCCTGTTGCCTTGGGGGTATGTTTTGGTTCATTATCATGCTGGAAGACCCATCCACGACACATCTTCAATGTTCTGGCTGAAGGATCCTTCTCGTCCAAGATTTTACGGTGCCCGTCCATAAGCCCCTCAAAACGTCTAGGCGTCCTGTATCCTTAGCACAGAACAGCGTAATGTTTCCACCTATGTGCTTGACTGTAGGGATGGTATTCTTGGGGTCATGATCAGCATTTCTCTTCCTCCAAACACGACGAGTTGAGTTGATGCCAAAGAGCTCAATTTTGGTCTCATCTGACCACAGCACTTCCTCCCAAGCCTTCTCTGAATTATTAGATGTTCATTGGCAAACTTCAGGATGGGCTTCTACATGTGCCTTCTTGAGCAGGGGGGAATCCATTCTGGTGTAGTGTGTTACCTGTTGTTTGCTTAGTGACTGTGGTCCCAAAGTTTCTGCCTTGATATCATTAACAAACTCCTCCCATGTTGTTATGGGCTGATCCTTCACCGTTCTCATGATCATCCTTACCTCATGAGGCCAGATCTTGCATTGAGCTCCAAATCGAGGGCGATTGATGGTTATTTTGCATTTCTTCCATTTCCGAATAATGGCACCAATAGTTGTCTCATCCTTACCAAGCTTCATGCTGATGGTCTTGTAGCCCATTCCAGCCTTGTGCAGATCTACAATCTGGACCCTGATATCATTTAAAAGCTCTTTGACCTTGCCTATGGTGGTGGAGAGGATGGAATGGAAGATATAAATTATGTGGACAGGTTTCTTTTATACACATTACGAGCTGACATTAGGAGTACTTTCTTAAAGTGACAGGGCTATTCCGTTTTTCACATGGACACATAACCAATCGGTGGGAGGCTGAAGTCTTTGGTAAGGATCAAATAGTTATTTCCCGCACTGTATATATATATATATATATATATATATATATATATATATACAGTAATATATATATATATATATATATATATATATATATATATATATATATACTCGTTTATATGTATGTATTTACTCGTACATTTCAGCTCTCAACAATACTTTTTTTTTACAGTATCTGTTTTAAATAGTTGAAAACATATTTTATTATTCATAAAACAAATGTAAATAAGACCACAGATAAAAATAAACATTTATGAATTATTTCAACCCCAACCGTGCTGGTGGACAGTATACAGCCTAACATATGGACTGAACCCTCCTATTCATTTGGTTCCATTTCTGACCCAGAAAAGGTCAATCTTTTGTTTAAAGGACAAGTTTTTAGTATGAAGATTAAGCTTTGTAAAAATTGTCAAAATACACCACTTTTATTTTTATTTATTTTTTCTTATTTTTTTTTTAAAAAGAGGTAAAAGCATTTAAACTAAATTGTTATACCTTTTGTGGTCGCATCTGTTTTGACCACAAAGTGAACTGTGGCTTTACACAATATTATGCTTCATTTACACATGAAATTGTGCCGTTTTTATTATTCTTTTTTTTATCTATCTATTCAAATTACTTCTCTAAAATACATTTAGCCTCTTTCCTACATTCATGCACATATTTT